GCGACACGGGCCCCGCCGCGGCGGCGGCGGCGGTGGGGGGGACGCCTGGAGGAGGGAGGGCCGGAGGATAGCGAGGTAGTTTGTTCCTCACACCCTAAGTGGGGTTCTGATTTTTTCGCCCCCCCTCCTCGCGCTGTAGAGCAGTCCTCACCTCCCCTCTCCTCCCCACCTCGTTTTGCACTCACTATTGCCATCACGCCGTCATCATCATCACCACTATAACCTTCCCATCAGGATCATCGACCACCACCACCACCACCATCATCATATCATCATCATCATCATCATCATCATCATCATCATCATCATCATCATCATCATCACCATCACCATCACCATCACCATCACCATCACCATCACCATCACCATCACCATCATCATCATCATCGTCATCATCATCATCATCGTCATCATCATCATCACCATCATCATCATCACCATCATCACCATCATCATTACCATCATCATCACCACCAGCATCAGCATCAGCATCAGCATCATCATCATCATCATCATCATTATCAACAATATTATCATCATCATTCTCATTACCATCATCAGCACTATCATCACCATCGCCATCATCATCAGCATCATCATCAACTATATCATCATTATCATTATCATTATCATTATCATTATCATCATCAGCATTATCATCACCATCACCATCATCATCAGCATCATCATCACCATCATCATCATGACCAGCACCATCACCACCACAATCTTCATCGCCACCGATATCAATATCACTATCGCACGCGACCGTTCCCATTACTATCATCACCCCATCGTGAGCAGCATCGCCATCACCATTGCACACACACGATCGATCGCCCACGCACACGCTCACACGTGCACCTTGAGGATGTCTCAAGCGGGTGCCTCGTCCGTGAGTGAAAAGCGAGGGAGGCTCGAGCGGGGGCCCTCTCCTTGTAGCCCCCGCCTCGCGTTTCCCCAACGTCCTAAGTGGGTCTCGTGTTTTCCCTGGACATCCCGTGGATGAGCCAACAGCAGAGGAACGCACACGCACACATCATCATCACCGTCATCATCATCACCATCACCAACACCATCACCATCATCACCATCACCCCCTATCACCATCACCATCACCATCACCATCACCATCACCATCACCATCACCATCACCATCATCATCATCATCATCATCATCATCATCATCATCATCATCATCATCATCATCATCACCATCATCATCATAATCAACATCATCCCCATCCCCATCACCATTAGCATCTTCATCAGCATCACCATCATCATCTTCAGCATCACCATCGCATCATCACCATCATCGTCATCAGCATCATCATCATCATAATCATCATAACCATCATAATCATCATACTCATCATCTTGATCATCCTCATCACAACCACCATCATCGTCGCCATCGTCATCATCACCACCCTCATCATCACCCGTAGCAATTTTGGCTCAAGGTCGAACCGTTTGCCCCTGGGGCTTTGACCTTGTTCGGAGCCGACGGGGAGCTCGAGGTGCAGGCACAGCTGTCTGCTTGCCCTGCCCTGCTTGCTGCCCCCCCGTCTCCGCTCGGATCACAAGCGCTCGGGGTTGCTTGGCCCTGGTTCCCTCGGCCACCGATGCTGCGATCAAGGAGTTGGCCGCTCCGTTGACTAATCTGAATGAAGCCCTCACCATGTTCTCGGCTCAGGTTCGTGAACTTGCTTCCACCATTGTTGCCATGCAGAATGGTCTGAAGCAGCAGGAAGAGAACATTGCAAAGACCAAGGCTGAGATTCAGACATTTTGAAGCATGTCTAGTATCGGTTCTCCGTCTTCCCAGGCTTCCGAGGGCCCTTTCAAGAAGTTCCGTGGTTCGCCCTTCGCCTGTGGTGGGAATTTGGATATCCTGTCCATGGCCATCGTGGTTGGTTTCTGGGAAGAGTTCACTCGGAGGGTCCCTCATGATGCTGGTGCTGCCGTTCCCTTTGCTTGTGTGGGTGGAGAAGTGAAGCAGGCCATGCATGTGACGCCGCAGAGCTTCTCGAAGAAAGTCATTCTGGCGTTCTCTCGGCCGATGTGGCAGAGCGTGCCCTTATGACGTTTCGGAAACATTTTCCTGAGGGTTTCGAGTTCCAGACCCCGGAGGGTCCCGAATCGCTCCGAAGGAAGCCTCTCCGTGATGCTGGGGCGAATAAGGATTTGACCATCTCGGGTAAGATTCGGGGTGAGCTCGGGGAAGTTGTGAAGTCGTCTCCAGCCCTGAAGGACTGGTCTATCGAGTCTTCGGTCAGCAACGGATTCATCTTCGCGGCGAGTGCAGTATTGGGGGATGTGGTGAGGCTCTATAATGTCCCCAAGCCTGCCTCCCCATCCGACTCGCCTCGTGTGCTCGCTGTCGCGTGCCACTTCACCTAAATCGGTCTCGGGAACAAGCGTCAGCTGATTGTGGACGAGGTGCTGGGCTAGTTGAGCCTTTGACAGCTCTGTGTCTCCTACTTCTGAGGGTGCCCCACCTGGGGCTGGTTGGCTTGCGCAGGACATCGCCTCGCTCGTGCGCGCGGTCCAATTTGGCGAGGCACAATGCGTGCTTGGGGAGATTGGGGCGGCTCTGTTTCCCGCCCCCCTGCCGATGCAACCCCTACCAGTCGTCGCGTGGAATGCGAGAGGGCCGTTTGGGAGCGTTAACAGTATGAAGGATCGGGCTTGCTTTCGTTGGCGTATATTTACGGGGCTGCTTCAGAGGCACCAGAATGGGCACTCTGGGGATGTGGTCGCTCTCGAGAAGGAGTTCCGTTAGCGCGAGTTTTTTCTCGGATGCTCACCCTGATTGCGCCCCTGGGCGTGGGGTTTTGGTTTGTGTCAGTGCCGCGTTGGTGGGCATGTTTTCGGGCTTCACTCTGAGGTCTCTGAGTCTTGGCGAGGAATCGTATCTGCCAGGATGGGGAGAGCCTGGTGTGTTAGGGATTGTCTCTGTCCACATGCAGAATGTCGTTTTGTGGATTGGCTGCTATCGTCACTGTCTCTCTGTTGTTCGCTCCGCTCTACTTCCGCCCTCTGCTGCTTCTCGTATCCTGCTTGGTGATTTCAATATCGTCCTTAGCGATGAGGGCCGTTTCAATCTTGAGACGGGGCCGTTAGTCGGGGGGGGGGGCTCTGCTTTCTCGAGAAAGGAGCGAGTATTTGGAGGCTGGGCGGGACTGTACCCGCCCCAGGATACGCGACGTGCTTGCTTTGGTCTGGTGATAGTCTCTACCGCTCGTCTCGACCGTGTCTATGCTGATATTCCTTAGGCTGTACTCATGGATCTGGTGGTCACTGGTTCGACGACCGGCGTGCCTACTAACTTGAAGCACCCCTCTGATCACGTTCTTGTTGTGTTTGCCATCCCACCGAAACCGCGGCTACTGGATGGCCCCCCTTCTGTTCCTTCCTGGGTTCCGTCGACGTCCGAGTTCCAGGGGATTCTGGGCAGTCGTCTGCAGGGGATTGATCCGAGGCCCCCGATTGTGACTCGGCTGTCCCGTGCGAAAGACGCCGCGCGCGAAACGCATGTCGAATTTCGGAAAGTTTTGCGGTGTCGGGAAGCCAAGTCTCCCCATGAATTCCATCACTGGTGTATGTATTGCTGCTCTCCGTTCCCTTCGTGCTGGTGTGCAGTGTCTCTTGGCGCGTGCCGTTCGTGTCCGCCCTCATTTCTCTGCCGTCGCTGACATCGAAACTGGCGCATTCTATAGACCCGTGGAACTATGCGCGCGCATTGTTGCTCTGAGCAGCCATCTCTTGGATGCGGGGAGTCAGCTGCGCGCAAGCGAGCGACCTTCTCGAGCGCGAAGCTGCGCGCAGACTTGCGCGTGGCATGCGCAATCGTGAGCGTTGGCGGCCCCTGAATAAGTCTGTGCGTCTGGGGAATAGTCTTCTCGAGGGTTTTGGTGTTCTGTGCTCATCGGTCCATCGTGCTGGCAACGAGCTCGCTCGTTCCCGTCGCTGCGCGCGTGCCCGACCGCGCGCTTTGGAGCGTCGCCAGTGCATTCAGCATGCTGATGCGTTGCTTCCTGACGCAGAGTGGGCCCTCTCTCTCGCGGAGAGTTTGCGGAGCTTGTGCGGCGCGCTTGTGATTCAACGCCTGGCGTAGATGGTTGGCCGCGCAGATGTTGGAAGAAAAGCAGGTGCTCAGGAGGTGTTGTTTGCTCTCTACTGCCGCTGTATCTCTCGCCCTGATGATTCCACCCATCCGATTCCCACGAGATGTTTATTGTGGTCTTCCTTGCGAAGGGCGATCATCCCTCTGGTGCGTCTGCTGTTCCTGCTCGTAGGCCACCTTCTACTCGTCCGCTCTCCATGGGGTGCGCTCGTCGCTAGCTGATCGCGGCTGCCGTTGCTTACTCTCTCACGAGAGTCAGTGTGCAGTCGATCCATGAGCTTCAGACTGGGCGAGTTCCAGGGACATCTATTTTGGACAATATCGCCCGCTGCGATGCCGATGGGGTTTTGGCCCATCTGGAGGGGCAAGAGGGCCTGGTCCAGCTTCCTACCCGCCTCGAAGCTGCGTTTCCGAGTCTTTTCGTGGAATGGGCTTTGCGCGCCCCCAGGGAGATGGGCATTCCTGATTGGGCGGTGAAGCTCGTCGGAAACCTTTATGCAGACAGGGCGGCGGGGGTCTATGTCTGCGGTGTCTCCCTGGCGTCCTTCCGCGTGGGTCGCGGGGTCCGACAGGGGCGCCCTGCCTCCGTGCTCCTGTGCGCCCTCGCCCTGGGCCCTGTCTGTAGGTGGCTTCTCGAGACAGGTTCCCTTAGGCTTGGGCTCTCAGGCAAAGCCGGCAACTTAAGGTTCTGTTTTGAGAACATGTTGACTCCCCATCTGTGATAAGATCTGCCTCCTCTCGAGGGCGGTTGGGCTCGAACTACACTTTGGGACATGTTGTTCTAGTGGGGGCCCTCAGAACCTGCGAGACTTCTCGAAGTTGCCGGCGTCTGCGGGACGGGGCTGTGAACGTTTCCAGGGTGTTCGTT